AATGGCTAATATAATTCTCAATGGGGAAAAATTGAAATCTTTTACTCTCAAATCAGGTACAAGACAAGAATGTCCTCTATCACCCCTACTCTTCAATATAATTCTGGAATCATTAGCTAGAGCCATTACACAAGAAGGAGAAATAAAAGGAATAGGAATAGGTAGAGAAGAAGTGAAACTATCATTATTTGCTGATGACATGATACTTTATTTTGAAGACCCAAAAAACTATACTAAGAAGCCACTAGAATTGATAGACAAATACAGTACCATAGCAGGATACAAAGTATATACCCAAAAGTCAATAGCATTCCTCTACACAGATAACAAACACACTGTGAGGGAAATTTTAGAAACAATACCTTTTACAATAGCCCCAAGAAAAATGAACCACCTTGGAATTCATCTAACTAAAGAAATCAAAGATCTTTTCATGGAAAATTACAGTATTTTGAAAAAAGAGATCATAGAAGATTTCAGAAAATGTAAAGATATTCCTTGCTCCTGGATAGGAAGAACCAATATCATGAAGATGGCCATACTCTCAAAATTGTTGTATAGATTTAATGCAATCATTATGAGACTATCATCAACATACCTCCCAGACCTAGAGAAATTCTTCCTAAAATTTATCTGAAACCAAAAAAGACCTAGAATAGCAAAGGCAATCCTGGTAAACAAAGACAAAGCAGGAGGCATTACAATTTCTGACTTGAAATTATACTACAAAGCTACTGTGATAAAATCAGCATGGTATTGGCAACAAAATAGACCTAGGATCAATGGAATAGACTAGTACATGCAGAGGCCTCTAGGAATGCAGTCAGCCACGTGATCTTCGACAAAGGGGCCAAACACACTTACTGGAAGAAAGATAGTCTCTTTAACAAATGGTGCTGGAAAATTTGGCTCTCTATGTGCCAAAGACTAAAACTTGACCCAGATCTATCACCATGCACTAAACTAAAGTCAAAATGGATTAAACTGAATATTAAAACAGAAACACTAAATCTCCTAGAAGAGAAAGTAGGAGGAACTCTTGAAGACATAGGGGTAGGCAAAGAGTTCATGAACAGAAACCAAATCGCACGAGAAACACTTGAAAAAATTAACAACTGGGACCACCTCTTATTGAGAAGTTTCTTCATATGAAAAGAAATTATCAACGAAGTGAAAAGACAACCACAAACATTGAAAAATCTTAACTAATAAGCACTCAGGCAAAGGTCTGCTCTCTAGAATTTATAAAGAACTAAAGAACATTAGGGCCCCTAAATTTAAAGACCCAATGCAGAAATGGGCATCTGAGATGAACACACACTTAGAGGATGAAATTACAGAAGTGAATAAATATATGAAAAAAATGCTTCACATCACTAGCCATCTGTGAAATGCAAATTAAAACAACACCAAGATACCATCTCACCCCAGAAAGAATGACTATCATAAAGAAATCAACCAACAACAAAAGTTGGAGAGGCTGTGGGGAAAGGGGAACCCTTCTCCACTGTTGGTAGGAGTGTAGACTGGTGCAACCTTTATGGAAATCAGTGTGGAGACTCCTTAGCAAACTAGGACTGGAAATCCCATTCAAGCCTGCTATCCTCCTACTGGGAATTTTCCCGGAGGAACTGAAAATATCATATCACAGTGATATATATGTACCTATATTTATAGCAGCACAATTTGTGATAGCCAGATCTTGGAAACAACCAAGATGCCTGTCACATGTGGAACGGTTGAAAAAGATGTGGTATTTTTATACAATGGAGTATTACTCAGCTATAAAGAATGATAAACTCGAAGCCTTCATATTTAATTGGATGTCACTTGAAGATATACTTACAAGTGAAATAAACCAGACCCACATCTGTAAATATCATATTGTCTCCCTAGTATAAGAACGCAAAAGTAGGGGCCAGGGAGATAGCTCAGTGGAATAAGCACTTGCCTGGCAAGCAAAAGGACCTGAGTTCAATCCCTGGTTCTGAAAAAAAAAACTCAAAAGAATAATTACAAGTAGAAAGGTATAACACAATTTAATCGGAAAGCGAGAACTTGAGGATTGGACAATGAGGAGAGGGCAAGGAGAAAAGCTGGAAACATTACAGGAGAAAAGCCATACATTTATACAGATAAGATGTGTAAGGCAATGATCCTGAGAAACATCAGCAGGTTTTTGAAACTAGCAGTTAACTGGTAGGATTCTCACCCTGACTAACTATATATGCTGATACCTATGAACCAAGCAGCTGCACTGAATATAGCAATATGTAATAGAAGGATCATGCTTGGAATGCCTGTCATTCTGGTCTAAATACGTACTTCTTGTCATGACATA